CACTTCTACTCGAAATGGAAGTAATCCCAACAATGTAATGTTTGCCTCATCGACAAACCCACTATAAATACGAAACGGTAAAGATTTGACTTGACATTAAAGTCACACCTGCTTGTGGCATATTGGCACCCGTGGCAGAGTGGCGTATTGGTTACATGTAACAAACATACGATGGGGATGCTGATGATACCCCGGCATGGGGGAAACTGAAGTCCAACCCAGCCTGATCTATAACATATTTTGGGAGACAAGGATAAGTTAACTTTAATGGCATCCTGAGGCCTGCTCCTTTCATTGTGTGCAAATTTAACCATCAGTCCTATATAATCTTATGTGACTTAGGATGTGTAAAACTCTAATTCAACATCCACTGATGGTCTCAAAACCTACTTACTATTCAAATAGATCAAAAAATTTGCAAAACAAACCTAACAGCACTTGATGAAATGAGCCATTATTTCTTAGTATTACTTATCTCTGCCAAAATAACTAATAGAATGGAAAGCTAGTTAAAAAGTGATTTTTCTTAGGTCGCAGTCGCGAGAGCCAGTGAGCTCACAAAGTGTTAGCTAAAAACTGCTTTTCAAAATAGATGTGTTCGGGATTGGAATGTCAGCAAGGGTGTCTAGCATGGCTTCTGAATTGCATTAATTGGGATGCAGGCCGTGTTTGTGTTTTGTAACTAGCCCTGAAAGACTTGATTCAAAGGTCACCTCAGAGCATGAAATAAACGAAGCGCTGGTTCCTTCAATCATCAATGCATATTTTTTCAAACCTACCTCGAAATTTCTACTCTCACAAAACTCCGTCCCATTCTTGTAAACGGCCTCCACAATTGAACCCTTCAAAGTAACCCTTTTGCAGGCCGAGTAGAACTCATCACAGAATTCGCGACACACCTTAATAGCAAATGGAAAAGAGACAAAAAATCGTTTTAGGCAATACGTAATTTGATGAATATGCGATAAATGCATCAAATATAAAATGACGTTAGGACAAAGGGCGATTATGCTGCATTCAAGTGGTTTGATAAGGGTCATACGTTACAGCTATGAGGAGTGATCTGAAATGATTCGGTCGGGGAATGAGTAGTGCTCACCTATTCTTTATCATTATTGAGCTC